TTTACAAAGCAATAGATTGAATACGAATTACAATGCCCAATCTCATCTGAAGTTCAAATTTTTATATGAGAGATAGTATGCAAACTGAAACTTAGTATTAGTTAAACTTAGAAAGTATCAAATTTCATTAAATGAACTTAGAGATTATGATGTTATAAAGAAGAGGTTTTGCACACACAATAAACACATGTATAGAGTCTTTACAAATAGCACTGAAAGATGCCTTTACTATCCCTCCAACAATTGATCATATATACTTCAACAAGAAATGACACAGAAAGAACTACTACTATATGAGATCATACATGGTACTCCTTTACAAATAGCATTGAAAGATGCTTTTCCTATTATTTCTTTTACTCCTGAGGCATTCTGGACACATTTTGCTTGTTGCATGAAAGGTTGCCAGGGCTTGTTAGGTTCAACTTCTTTGCACCTGTTGATGCCTCCTGACGACAATCAGAGGCGAAACTGCCAATGATCATCTGCAGAGAGAAACATTTTCCAAGTAAAATTAGCAACAGGTACACAATGCAGATAGACAAATTGTATGACAATATCCACAAAAATCTGATAAGAAACCAAAAGCATATGATGAGAAATTTGAAAGGTGAGAGACCTGTATGGGTGAGGCGGCAAGGAGAAGGCCAGCCAGACGACCACCAAACACCTTGCCATTTGATCCTGCTAGCAAAACTGTTAGCCCACCAGTTTCGCTGTCTGAACTATCGCTCTTTGGCAGAAGGCCAGAGATTGATAGTATCTCAAAACGGCCCTGTATATAAGACAAGAAATTTCACTTGATATTTGTTTAGGTAGTAAGTGGATATAACATGTGAACTCTCATTAGCACACTATGGCATTAAACTATGTCGAATTCACATAAAGGACACTAAATATAAGTGATGATGCCAAGTTGCCAACAGACAACTAGAAACTTAAGTTAAAATCCAAAACATGTTCTGCATATAGCCATACAGAAACTTGTATGTAATATAAAGTTATAAACCATGAAAGAGTCAACATATTGAAGGAGGATAAGGCTCATGTGCATATGAAAATCAAAGTTTAGAATTATTTAAGTAGACAATTATACATAAGAGACTATTATTCTAGTACTAAGTTGAAGGACGAAGATGTTAAGCAAATGCAATTTTTGAAAGATTTATTAGTGATATTACAATTAGATAAATCATCAGCAGATTCTGAAAGGAAATAATAATTTTCGTTTACACAAATATAAAAATTACCTCATAAGTTTTTCCGCCTGAGCTTGGCCCCTGGTGAAGCACCACCTGGGATACAACACCATTTGCTGAAAGGACACATATGTGTCCCTTCTGGCAAAATGAACTTAAGATGGAGGAAATTTCCTAAAAAAAGGAAAGAATAAATTAATATAAGCCAGATGTTTTTACATCTTGTACAACATCAAACCCGGAACAAAAAATGAAATATCTTCTGAAAAATGCTAATAAAAAAACTATAAATTGATTCCATGCTTGAACTTCATGACATTGGACAAGGTGTGTATTCTTTCAAATATGAAGAGTATAGTGCCAATGCTGTCAAGTCAAATCCCTAGATTAAATATCCTGTATTCCTGATATTATATAAACACACTCTCTACTGAGCCTTTCTTATTCTTCAGTTGTTTTCCACGATCAAGCCCATTTTTGTGGTAAAAGGCTAGGGTGGTAGTAACAATGACAGCGACAATTATGATGCTTAATCTACACTCCTCAAAATCAAAGATTAAGATCTAACAATATAATTTTTTTTAAACACATATAATAATCCCACTAAATTTTAAAGGTTCTGAGAACAAATAGATTTCTATTAGTATTCAACATCGAAGCAACATGTTAATCAGCAATAGAAAAATTCTGAGTTTTGAATTGACATAAAATTGATTATTTGTTTGGCTAAAAAAATTGACGATTTGTTGAAAACAACCATAAGGGATAAGAGAATAAGAACATGTCACTGAAAATTGAGTTGAATTAGATAATTAATAAATGAAATCTAATAATCTTTCTAAATAGATATCCCCTTTCACAAATCAAAATTAAACTAAAAACTTTAAACTTAATAATGATTTTTATCTTGTTCGTGTACATTCACTAGTGCCAAAAAACTAAAAGATATATTATCAATTGCAATACAAATATAAAGGAACTAAAAACAAGGAACACAAAGAATAAAAGCATGAGAAATTGAAAAGCTAGCACATATACCTGCCCAGCTTTGACCTTGATAGTATAGGGCGTAAAAGCATTCTCTTTACATCCTGCACCAATTTACACTCATTACAAATCACATTTGTAACCGAGAAAATGGCCAAGGAACCGAATACACTTACACATAAGCCAAACACAAAGAACTGGTCAAACTTTTTTCCCCAGGTCATGTACAAATGTAAAACCAATGATCATATAAGATACTGAATACTGACCAAAACTATCTACTGATTTTAGAGATCAAAATATTATACAAAACTTGCTAACTTTTAAATATTCAACAAGTTATGAATGGATTTATCCCAAGAATCCATGAAGGAAACAAAGCAACCTTTCTCCCCCAAAAAAAAAAGTTTAATAATAATAACAACAACAATAAAAGTAATTATTATTATTATTAGGAAACAAAACAACCTTTCTCCCAAAAAAATTAAATAATAATAATAATAATAAATACTATCAACAGCCACAAACATACCAATCAAGATGAATAACCAAAAGGAACAAAAACTGGTAACTGATTACCCATAGCAGCAATAGCGGCCAGCGGTGACACGATCTCCACAGGAACAGCATCATCCACAGACGCATTACCCTTCGGTCCCCTTGTTGCCAACGGCGATGGCACCCTTGTGGTCGAACTGGTGCCTCCACCAGGCACGTACTCAAACAGCTCAGACTTCCTCGGCCTCCCCCACGTCTTCATCAGTGACACCCTCAAGGGAAGGGCCCCAGCACTGCCTCTGGTGACAGCAGCAGGGACTGGTGGGACCATGTGACGATAGACACAAGTGCCGTCTGGCAGGACAGTCATGCTCATTTGAAGGCGGTGATGGGGTGACCTTACCGGTGGGTTTTGGGAGCCACCGGCATTAGAAGTTTCAGCTCTTGCTTCCATTGGGACAAAAAAAAAATGGAGCAGAAACTAGATAATTGAGCAAAGTCTTTTTTTTCTCCTTCCTCTTTTCTTGTTGGGAGTGAAGAATTGAATTGAAACCATTAGGTCTGATTTGGGTTTAAAAAGAAGGGAGGGAATGCAAAATTTGGAAAATATTTAAAACAAAATATTGCAATTGAGGAATAAAAATTCAGTGTGGAAGAAAGTTCATGTACTGGAGATTCAGTAAGATCAGCAAAAGAAGATAAAAAATTCATGCATTTGATTTAAAACATTGTACATAGGGGAAGATTCATGCAGACGGAGGGAAAAGATTCATGCACTTGATTTAAAACATTGTACGCCAAGAGAAGGTTCGTGACTCAAGATTGCAATGGTGAAAAATGATAAGTGTTGAGAAGATAACATGAATTAGCCCCTAGAATCCTGTACATTATTTACTTACTATTCAAGCTTTTTGTGCGAGATGTTGCTTTTTCGTAAAATTGCATGCGGTTTTTGTGATAAATGAGTTTCTTTCGCAATTTTCAGATGGGTTTGATGAGTGACAATAGACTCTGATCCATTGCATTTAGTATTTGTGACAAATGAGTTTTTGTGACAAGATTTAGTATTTGCCAGGTTCATGTGTCCATGACCTCAGAAGTGATTACCGTGCAGGTATTCATTGCATTTAGCATTTCAAATTCCATACATATTTGACACAGATACAAAAAGGGCTTCTGCGCATACACACCTGGCATTTGTAGGTGATGGTAACCTTCCCTCTCTTGTTGTTGTAGTTGCCCGCCATATTGTAAACTTTTATTTTCGAAATCAACCTAGTTTCAGCGTCTTGCGCTGACGTGGCTGAAACTGGGTCGGTTTCGAAAATTATCTCAAAAGCGGGTCGATTTTGGTGATTATTTTTTGTGGAAGGGTTTATTAAAAAAAATTCCTCCTAATTTAAATGAGTGATAGCAAATTAGTAATAAAACTGAAAGTTGACTACAGGCAACACAAAGAGGACCCATGAAGTCTATAACAAAGTAGAAAGGAACCGGACCCAACCAACACACAGTAGCTCAAAAGATTCGAGGGCGCTCGCAGAGTGAGTTACCCATTCATTATTAAAAGTCGCATCTTTAATAAAGACAAACTCCCGTTTTTGTTAGCAATAAATATTATATTAATTACGGAGGAAACATTAGCAACAGGAACTAATCTTATGTAAAACATATTGGTTACTGGCCCTCACTTTTACTTTATTAGGGTTAAGAATGTGAGATTGGTACCGGTTGGGCCCAACAATGAGAAAGAGAGCCCGGTCACGAAACCTAGTTCCGTCGCTAACGATACCTCCGGTGACTTTTCCCGCCGGAGCACCTGCAGCTACTTAAAGCAGGCAAACGCCGCTGGGGTCCCGTCACCGCCTCCAGCGACGGCAGCGCGGAGAAGGTCATGATGACTCGCTCGCTCCCCTTTTGGAAGGAGGGCAAGACTTGTGTTGGTTGGGGGGCGGTTTTTTGGACAAATTTTCAAAGGAAAATGATTTAACCTAAAATATGACACCAAGGAAGGGGACACGTGAGGTGAACTCTTCCTATCATGTCTCCTTCTTATTGTATAATGAGTTAGCATCGCTAACTTATTATGTAATAGAGAGGGGATACCTCATATGTCTCCTTCTTTGGTCCCATATTTTGGGTCTCCGTAGCAGCACTCATTTTCAAAACCAACCCCTTTCACTATTTATTTTCAAAAAACGACCGTTTTTGCAAAAAAAAAATTCAAAAACTGACCTGGTGTCAGTCCTGGAGCTGAAACCAGGTCGGTTTTAAAAAAAAATTTATCTGAAACTTCACGAGAGTTGAACTCCCGTGAAGTTTAGTAAAAATGCTAAACTTCACGGGAGTTGAACTCAACTCCAGTGAAGTTTCGTAGTTCATTTTTTTTTGAATTACCAAACTTTACGCGAGTTCAACTCCCGTAAAGTTTAGCAGTTTTGCTAAACTTCACGGGAGTTCAACTCCCGTGATGTTTCCGAAGTTTTTTCAAAAAAACCGACATGCTTTCAGCGCCAAGACTAAAACCAAATCGGTTTTTACAATTAAGTTTAAAAGGGATTGTTTTCTGGGATTAAATTTTCAAATAGGTTGGTTTTGAAAATTTGCCCGCGGTTTTTTTCTTTTTCAGGGTGTCTTTTTTGCTGGGTTTCGAGAAGGAATTTTAAGAGGGTGCGAAATTATGATCATGGACTTTTAACGGTTCAATAAAATTAAATTTTCTGGAGTAGTTTAATAAGATAAATATTCACATGAATAAAAAAAATCATTGGATTTTGGACATAAAATTCTTTCTTGAAATAAGAAGGGTAAATTTAACAAAACGGAGGAAGTAGGATCCATTTTGAAAAGTCAGGCTTTTCCAAAGCAGTAACCCCATAAGAGTTTGGGGTTACCTGGAAAATAAATCCAAGAAAATGACATTTTCAAAGTGTTAAAGAGCCATCACAAAATAAGTAGAAAGTTCTGGAATTTCGTGAAATTTACCCGAATGAGAGACCACAAACCCTAGAAATTTAGGGTCTGTTTGGATTTGTAGGGGGTGAAGGGAAGTTAAGGAAAACTGAGAGAAGGGAAGGGAATGGAATTCTCTTCCCCTTGGTTACACCCCAATTTGGAGGGTAACAAATTTTATACTATTAGGGGGTGAACCAAGGGGAACTAGGATGAATTAACTTCACCTCTTAAGTGTTCCCAAACAAGATGAATGGAAGTGAATGGTTCCCCTAACGGCCTAACTTCCCTTCACTCTCATTCCCCTCAATCCAAGCAAGCCCTTAAAGACAAATTTTTACCCCCACCAAAAAACAAAAGAAGTTCATTGTTGATTCCAACAAACAAGAAAGTGGCGCGAGACAGCGACTACGCTGTGTACATATACACTGTTGGGATAATAACATTTAATATAAAGACAACAACACGTCATCCAAAATTATTTGGTCATGGACCCAAATGTTAAAAAAAAAATTGAACAAGGGACGATGAATTTGGCCAAAAGCTGGGAGCCCCAAGATATCCATGCAAATTAACAACCAATCTCATATTCCGCCGAGGAAAAAAAAAAAGACTTTTCGTTTTTCTTGCTGTGAACATTACGCTGTATTAACTTCAGCAAGCAGGAAGCTCTTGCTGCGAAATGTAAAGAAACTGCGAGCTGAGGACATGCATACATAGCATCCAAGCAAACATTAGCTAGAACTTTGCTGTCATTCACGGTCTCCTCTCTTGCCAAATGTAAGATTTTGTACACAATCATGATCAGAAATTTACAGCCCTTCACTGTAGGAACACCTTAATCCTAGGGAAATATACTTTAGCATTACACACGTTACGGCATCTATATACAAAGCTAAAACAAAATAAAGGTGGCCGCGTGGTTAGAGCACTACACTATTAACAATGCCGCAAAAATTAGGAATAACGGATAGCTTGATGATGACGCTCCAGCACTCCTCTCAGTCAGAGCTAGTACCTTAGAACTTCTTGTAGGTGCTCTTACTCCTTTTACCTCTTCTAGGCTTTTCCAACTCAGGGTGCCAGACAGAATCCTCTGTTTCTGTAGAATTGTCTCCACCCTCATCTGTGTTTTTAAGTTTTACAATGACCAAGAATTAGTCAAGAATAATAATGAGAAAAACAATGCTGACAACAAAAAAGAAGTTTTTGTTAGAATTAGGGAAGATACATCCAAATTGGATATCCCTTCCATCTGCAAGCTATCCACCTTAATGCTTAAATTTGAGGAGGATACATGCCTACAGAGGAGCAATGGCCAAAGTGGGAATATCCTGGGTCAACTTAAGGATAACCCCCATTCCTGTAAATCTAAACACATTTCCGTGCTGGTTTTGGTGAAGTTTTCCCTAGGGTCAAATTTGACATAATGGTGGCTTGGTTTAACTTTGAATCAAGCACAACTAGCAGCACATTTACATCTGCCAAAAAATCGTTTTTAGAGTTGCTGTTTAAGGTCTTGAAACCAAGTTGCCACCACCCTTAATCCACTGAATTGGAAAAGAGACCACACAACAACATAGGATGATAAAATTTACTACTGGAATAACCTCCAAGGCACAAAAATAAACCAAGGAGACATTAAATCACATTTCAACATAGATGCTTCCAGTAACTACTTCGTCGTATTTTACAAGTTATGAGTGACCATTGATAAGTGACTTGGGAAATTTACTTACCATCACAGGCTTGCTTCAGTGTTTGTGGGCTTTGACCATCAGATTGCTTGTGTCTTTGTTTCATGATTGGTGAGATGCTCTTAGCCTTGAAAATGTTATTAAATAACAGCAGTTTTTTAGTTAAGTAAATGTCTAAATACTAACTCTTGCAACTGTCTTTTACCTTTGGTGAGACTTCCTCATTTTTAAGCAGCCGCTTGAGGTCATAACGAGATCTTTTTGCTGCTATTGTTATTACCCCTCGTGCAGTTTGTTGCTCAGGATCGTCACATGCGCCATTAAATGGTGGCATATAACAAAACCTTTAAAAAAATAGCAATGCAAGGTGACACATGAAATAATTAGAAAGTAAGGATAACAAGAATACTTAAGTAAAGCAAGGGACGACTAGTAGACATTCACCATTTATTTCAATATCTCAAACAGATATCGAAAAGCTATGATCTGACTACAGATGAAGGGATGGCACATAATAACAGGTACTTGTGTTACTGTATACCATAAGGGAACCAGACAGTACCATGTCAGGACTCAAGAAACTTTAGTTCCTGAAAAATACCTGATGGCCAGAAAAGCCAAATTATAACCCTCAACCCTCGTACAACTTCAGAGTTTGGTATAGTGGAAGAAACCAGGGTTCCACAAGACGCATTCAAATCAGCGTTAAGGAAAAAGGTGCCACCGACAAAATAGCTTGAGCTTTGATCTATGAAAAAGGTGCTCAATCTGCAGTCCCAATTTTAGAGTACAAATTATAACCCTCAATTCTCAATACAAATTCAGAGCGTTGGTATAGTTGAATCCGATCTTAAACTCCCAATACACTGGAACTCCTAAGTGGTGGTTAAGATCATGTTATAATTTGATACTCTAACATGTTGCCAGAGGCTGAGCATCTTTTTAATGGGTCGAAACCGGCACCATTTTATGCAATGATATTTTCGTTTTCTACCGTCCACTTTATACATGTCTGATGGGATTTGAACTTTGATTGCCCAAATACCACCTTAAAGTCACATCCACTACACCATAACCCAGAATTGTAGTGAAGATTAGGGTTATAGTTTTATACTTTTAATTGCAACTTAAAGAAAACCAACAATAATTATCCTTTTTGCTATTTTCTTGTGTGATAAGAGCCAAAAGGAAATACAAGGTTGTACAAGCTATTATAGACTAGAACTTATGAGCTGTACAGCTGAACTTTGAAAATGAGAAGTTGAGGAAAAAAAAAAGAAAATTTGAAAATTCAATTTTACACAACAGATATACACCATAAAAATTGAATGTGCTACGAAGTATGAGGAGGATTGTAATTACAATTAAGGCAGAGCAAAATGAACATGGACTAAGGCATTTAAGAAAGATGCAGTAGCCTAGTCACTATATTAAAATAGAAGGGAAACCTCAACCAAGCTGAATACGAAACTATACATCTAGCTGAGGAAACAGGCTAATCCCTTGAATACCTCAAAAAATAAATTTGGGTTAACCGATGATGGAACCATCAAGACCAAGAAAAGACCGCGCCCATGTAAAAGTATGTGAAATAAAACTCCAAATTCTATTGCAAGGCCAGTGTCCAAAAAGCTGTAATCTTACTCCCATGAAAGTATAACCAACCACGCAAATGTGTGTACACCTCCCTGCCCCCACCCCAAACCCCAACAAAAAGAAACAGGGAGATGATTAATAAAAATACATTGTTGCATATATTTTCAAAGTTAGTATAACGGCTTCAGCATCTGGACAAACAACAGAGCAAACAGTTGTCATTAAATTCTCTTGGATAACCTTATATGCTTTTTACAAGTTCAAAGCTGCAGTATATCATCTTAGTCAAATTACTGGAACCACAATAAGTATAAATGTCCTTGTAGTTGTATCGCAAATAAGTTTGCTTGCCCGTGTTAGCTCTTCCCAGAACAGCCATGAATATGGTTTACTGCCTAAGGCTTCCATCTTGAGTACAAACTAGTTCATAGACCTAGCTTCCATATCATCATATATTGTCCAAACGTTCCATCTTTAGATTTCATGCATATAGTTTACAGTATAATGTCCTCGCTCATTACTCTGCTTCATCTTTATTTACACAAGGTAGTCCGATCATTTTGTGAAGTTTTTTATTTTCTATTATTATTATCTTTTTTTTTCTTTTTCTTTTTTTTTTTTGGGGGGGGGGGGGCGGAGGTGGGCGGCGAGTAATCATAATAACTACCAAGTCTGTGTGCACAAACATATATTTAAAGAAGAGTAGCACGTCATATACAAATATTCTGCGCCTCAACCTTCATGCACGTGTTGTGACATATAGATTTCCTATGATATAAGCATTAGCTTTCTGAGAACCAATATCCATTTAGGAAATTGGTAGTGCAAGTTTAGAATGTAGAAAAAGTAAACAGTATACTATACGATAAATTATCAATCCTTTTAGAGTCATTGACAACCAGGAACATAGAATCCAATTAATGCTACAGAATGTTGTTTCAGTGTTAGATAATTATGTTAATTATGTTACCTCCACACTAACCATTTAAATCCTTGAAAATATATAACCAAAATCACAATCTTCAAAGGTTCTATTTTTCTGGATGGGCTATTAAACAAAAAGGCATGATCAAGTGCTAATGTATAATACAATCATGCAGTGTACCAAAAAAATATGAACACAAACCATTCAGGAGGCAAACTGTCAATGTCAAAACCAGTGCTCAGTATCCGCCACTTACGGCATTTGTCACACTGAACCCACTCATGATCAGGCTTACACTTTTCACCGCCCCTTTTCTGAAAAAGAAAAATCCCATTCACACAATATCAGAGCTGGAAAAAAGTTAACTAGCATAAAATTTTCCAGAAAGTACATATCTTCTTAATTCTAAAAACTAATAAGTAAATAAAGGAACTTTCAATATTTTTTTAATTCTCTTGATCCACCATCTAAAAAATGCACATCTTAGGAATCCAAAACCTAGAAGGCTAGAAAAGGAATATTTCATTTATGACAAAGTCTGAAGTCCTCAAGAGAAGCATTATAATACTTCAATTTAAAAAAAAATTAAAGGGTGAGGTTCAGAAAGATACCAAGTCAACTTTGTCAAAATTCTCATCCAAATATTCATCTATTTTGCTTCCCAACCACTCTTCAAGTTTAGCATATGCTTCACAATCCTGAAAACCTTGTTTGTTGTTAAGTACCCATACATTACCTTTATTATCATCCTACAAGAGGGAAGGATAGAAAGGGATCAAAAGATTAAAACATTTTCACGGTTGATGATAATGGAGTAGAAGAGTGTTTAGCATTGTCTCAGAGGGAGGCAATAAGAAGTTTACCATTAAAGCTGAAACATCTACAACCCCTAAAACTCCACGCCCAACGTCTGCATTATGTATCATACTTCCAACTCTCTTGTAAGCCTATGCGAAATGAGCATGTTCGATTATGAAACAACTTTTAGCAATTAAACATATATCCATAAGATAGTTAAAAAAAACTAGTAAAGCATAGGATAGAAGCCAACTACGTGCAATTTCATGGCATAGTTGTTTTTCCAAATAGGCAACTGGGGATCAGACTTTGAAGAAAATGGTTTTTTACATTATGTATTAAGTCTTCATTCATGACCACCACCCACAAGACTAAAGATCATGCAGCAAAAGGAGTGTTTTCTTTTCCATTAGATTGCACGTCCTCCAAAAAGAAGGAATTAAACACTGGAGAAGTGTTGTTAGTAGCTTTTCATTCTTGTGGACAAGAAATTCATGAGAATTTTGTGAACAGCATAGCATGTGATCCTTCTCTACCAATAGTTGAAATTTAGATTTAGAGTGATTTTGCTAATGTGTATCAAACTTGCATCCCATTTTATGGATTCTGGTGCATTCATCCATGAATGCATGGGACTCCTGTTGTCCATTTGAAGTAACTATTGAGTTTGAACTATTGAGTGTGAACTTGTAATTCTATCATGGTTAGTCAACGTTTCATCATTCCTGGACATGATCTTTTGGGTTTTTGTGTTGATGCAGATAGCTGCTGAGTTCAAACTTGTAATTCTTTCATGGTTAGTCGATGTTCCATAATTCCAGGACATGAACTTTTGGGTTTTTTTGTGACGAACCAGATGACAGTATTATGTTTTTTGTGCTTCTACTACTGCTAATACTACTACCATTTACTATTTGTAGCACATACTATATGGATGCAGGAGCTTTACATGCCGCTGAATAATCAGAGCAATAATTTAACAACTTGGTACCTTTTCTTGAAAAATTCAGTAAAGAAAAGTGTTATTCCTCTGATAAATGAGAAGTGTCAGAAGCATAAGTTGACAGGTGACAAACATGCTTGAAACTTTCTCATCTTCCCCAGCTTGCAGTTTTCACTGAAATTTAAACTTCCGATGAAAACAGAAAATCCCAGTTCTAAATCATGCAGAACAGAAGATAAATCCCTATCACACTCCAAAAAAGGAAAACATATATTATAATGTTTATATTCAATATCACGAATGTGACATTTAAATTTTCTGCTAATTCTAAGCCATTGACGTAAATCCTCTCTACAGCATGTCACGTCATATTAGCTCTTGGTTAACAATGTTGTCTCAAGACTCTTCGTTCTAGCTGAAGGCTTGCTCCTTTGTTGCAAGGGTTTAAATTGCACAAGTAAACATCTATTGACCTGCCAACTAATCAGCAAATTTACTTCGGCATGATCCTCTCTTGCCTATTACCTAGCTAAGAATTTGGCATCAAACATCAGAGGGTTGACATTAGATTGGTGAAGAGAGGTAAAATTTGGTTAAATTTTCTCTGGAGCACTCCATTATGTTGGAAAGGTTTAATTGATGATGATGATGATTTATCACTGTATATGTCACATGAATTTTAAGTGAGGTACAAATATATTATTCCAAAAACATATCAAATGGAGAAACTATTCTAAGTGAGAACATGTTTCTTAGTCATTGAATTAGAGATTAAAGAGGAAGAAGTGGTACCATCAGACCCAGGATAAATGAATCAAATGATTGGTGGATGCGGCATCTAAACGACTAAACTTTTTACTCAAAAAACATATGAGGATTATCATAAAATTAGGGTGATAAAACATCAAAGAACCACCAACTACACTTAAAAAAGTAAGCAGGAAATGGATCTATTCACATTTGAAAGTTAAAACTAACCTCAATTAGTCGACCATGCCAATACAAGAATACTCCACCATTCATTCGTTCCCATTCAATCTGACTTCTGCCTAGTGTTAAGTGAATATCTTTACCCATTATAGTGCCTCTCACTACAGAAGTCTTATTGAGGGATTTTGCCAGTGGTCGACTTTTCACCTATCAAAAACCGGAAAATGTTAAGATTAAAACATAATGAACCTTTTCGTAAGCAGACAGATGAGCATATAAATAACAAAAGTTGCGAACAATAACCGATGAGCCTTGGACAATTATCTTCATCCTTGGATCAAGGAAAATAACTTCCAGATAAGCTTGAAGTGAATAATCCAGTGGTACCTGTAGAGCCCAGAAGAAATGTCAAGCATAGAAGAGAAATGGTTCCAGTATGAGAAAACTTTTTCAAGATATTAGCCTAAAGGACAACTCTGATTTCAGCCCCTGAAAGACATCTATTAGCAGTCAGACTAGTGATGTGACCAAATAAGTAGGCATACATTAACAAACAGAACACATTTGCATTAACAAATTACTAGACTATCTCTGATCGAGCTCGAGCATGACATAAACAATTGTTAAAGGACAATGAAAGATAAACCAAGACTTAAGTTGATAGTGAATGAAGGAAACCTCTTGGCTTATTTGTCCAGGACGTGATCTTATTCTCCTAGAACGAATTAGTATGTCGCCGCGCACACCATCCTCGACCATGCTTTCACTATCTTCCCACTGAAGAGAATAATCAGAACTCCACTTATCTAAGTTCCATATGTAGATTTGTGTTCCAGTTGCCATCTCTCCAAAAAGCCCTAACCGTTCCCCTAGTAAATACTCATTGAAAGGGGAAAACTCCTTGATAGCATTCAACTTCAAATTTGCAGATGCCTCAGACTGTATACTCAAATCAACCTCCATAAAAGCCCCTAATTTGCGATATGCAATAATTGGAATCTCTAGATTCTGCACCAAAATAAGGAAGTTGAAAATAATGATATTAGAACATAGCCAAACTACAAATAAACAAAAACAAATATATATATGATTTACTTCTTTGTCCTCATTGTAAGATTGAGACAAAAAGGCGACAGATCTTGATCCTGTTGTTTGTGAAAGAACGAGGACATCTTTTCCAAGTTTCATTGCCCCAGTCTGCAAAGTTTTTACATCCAAAATCAAATGCCAGTTGCTACTAAACAAACCTGATTGAGAATACTCGCTGAAAAGAGAAACGAATATTTCCTAGCAAAATCCATTGTCAGACGGCAAAAAAAGATACTGGTGAAAACACAAGGCACAAGTTTGCCAATGTCGTATAATTTCTTGCCTTCCCCGCTTCTAATTAAGTATATATACAAGTATATAATAGAACATAAGATATCCAAGCTATCAGAACAGACCAGCAGAAAATGCAAGCATATCTTGTGAGAAAAGAAAGTATCTAAATTTCTTCTTCCAAAAGGCTATGCTCCATAAAGATTTATAGATCAGCCGAGTAATAATGTATACTCTGTCGGACACCATAATCAATCTCAAAGTACTAAAACACAGTCTGAGTTGAGCAAGGGCTCACAACTTTAATTATATAAATCATTCTTCATAACTAAAATTACATGACTAAACAAACTATAAGATAAACTTATACAAAATCTCCAAGAAAATTTAGCTTGCGTTTATCAATATCTATGATACAAGATACTAGCTTTCCTCTGTGTTTTGCATAAATGTCATAATGATGATATTTCTATTAGGAGTAAATTTAAGGGTAAATTACACTAATCTTCCAAGAATTTTCAGCATTTTGTAGTAAACCCCCAATAACTTTAAAAATCGCACTAAACCCAAAATAACTTTTTCATACTCCCAATATCTTTTGGGTAAATTACACTAAAGCCCCAATAATTTTCAAAATGCCTTATTATGTTATTTTTGTTCTAACTTATGGGGGTTATCTACAAAATGCAAAAACTTATTGGGGGCTTTCTGCAAAATGCAAAAGTTGATGGGGATTTAGTGTGATTTTGAAAGTTATTGAGGGTTCACTACAACATGCGGAAAGTTCTTGGAGATTTAGTGTAATTTACCCTAAATTAATGCATAGAGAAAAATAAACAGAATTCGCAGCAAGAAAATATACGGGACAAAAAACCACAAATGCACATAGTTCAACCAGAATGGAAAATAGAAAAGTAAAGAATGTGGAACCCAGGATTCGCAAACCATAACCCTGAATCTTAAGGCCAGAACTCTAGGGACCAACATCAGACAAGTGGCCTTTCATAAACTCATTCGAAATACTAGGGTGGCAATATAGTACTCGCAATTAACGCAAAAGAAAAGTAAGACCAGCAAAAAAAATTTAATCGAAGTTCTTATCCACAAATTAGATATGTGGACATGTACAATGAGCTCTTTTTAATCAATGTAAACAAACAAATACAAACAGAAGGCGAAACAGCTTTCAGAAATATATCAGAACGGTACATACCTTAAATCCAATTCCAAATCTTCCAATCCTATCCGGCGTTTCTTCATCTGGCTGCTTGTGGCCAAAAGAAAGCATTCTCATGATATCCTGGTGAGACATGCCAGTACCATCATCAACCACAGACAAAACAGGAATCTTTTCACCAACTTTCTTTGAATATAAGTACTCAACCGATATGCCCAATCTGGAGAAATAAAACATCTTCACAATTAATTGTCTAAAAATGTCTTAGTCAACAATTAATTCTGGAAAAAGAACTTCCGCTTTACTGAATCATAAAAGGCTCATAGATGCACCATTTTGAACCTAAAAACTAAGCTTACAGCATCTGTTATTACAAATTATATCAACAACTTATGATGATGATGGAGCAAACTACCAGGAACTTTAGACTAATAAATTGACAGCTTTAATCAATATAAACATAGTTGAAAAAGTAAAGCCTTAAGTAACAATGGAACAACCATTGAGATACTGAAATTTAACAAAAAAGTACCTCCTGAAGATCATAATAACACTTCGACAAAGATATGATATTTTTTGGACGAAAATCTCCAAGCAAAAAAATTCCATAAGGTTTTGAAGTGTGCAAAAAAAATCCCCGTAACCTTCATTTTCTCTTTCATTCTCCACTAACTCTTCTTTCTTCTCTAACTCTCTCCAACTTCTCACAGAGATATACTTAGAAAAAATGAGAAATATATAAAAGGAAAAAATCAGATAAAATGGTCAGCAAGAAATTTAAATAGAAAATAAAAGAAAAAAGTGTTAGATGCCAGACTTGATGAGTGTGAGCTAGAAAGAAAACTGATTTAAAACGAAATATAACAGAAAATTACTACAGAAAGGCAGTGATAATGAAAGAAAAGTAGGAGAAAAAAGTGAACGGAGAGAGTAAGAGAAAGAAACTTGGGAAGACAGAAAGAAGAGTAAGGGAGAAAGAAGAAAGAAAGAGAAGAGAAATTTTAGATATTTCAAAATTGGGGTTTTGCGTAATATTTTTCATCCAAACCTACAAATTTTAATGCTGAGCCCGAACTGTTGGATTAAATCTGCGGGGCATTTTTGTTACTTCCAAACTATTAGTTTGGACAATGGAGGGGTGTTCTGGAATTAACCTAAACTGTAACATGCGAATTTAAAGGGACAATTTTAAAAGAATAAGATCATAACTTTGATCAATAGAAACTTAGTGAATGGTTTAACATGATGATGCTGAAAAATGTGATTTTCTTAATTCATGGCTCAATTTCTGTTTGTTTCAGGAAGAATAACTCTAACAAAAATTTATATCAAACATAAAATTACATGTCGTATATGCATCTGGAAAGGCATAAGGAAATGGATTTGGAAATACCTAGTTGCATCAGCATCTCTGGAATTGTCAATAAGCTCAGCTATTGCTCCAAATGCCCATGCTGCATGAGTCTGACTAAGAGTTCTCAGATAACTAGGATCTGTCCTTACAAAACATCTTCCAAGGACATCATCCCCCAGCATTGCAGATGCTCCGTTAATCCCAGAAAATCGTACATTTTTGCAATAATTCCTACCGTGATCTTCTGCTAAGTTGCTCCCAGAATGCTCCCAGTTGTTATCTTCCTTAGATAACAAATTTTTTTTAGACGATGTAGAAGAGATGAAGCATAGAAGTCAATTAAATTCAAAGTAAGTTGAGGCAGTATCCAATCCAAAATTAAATAAACTTAACCAGAAATCTATTCAATCTAATGTGACGTCCACAAAAAATCAAGCCCAGGGTCGTCACACTTGTAGCAGTCACATAAAATTTGTGTTCGTGTTTATTAGATAATTTTAAAACAAGCAACAGATAAGAGCCAGCCAGATCAACTATTTTTATTTCACCTGACATTTCTTGGTCAACAGGTGCAAGCGGGGTCTTTCTCTTGCACAAAGCAATAACATGAGTAAACTCCGGATCTGGTGCAAGTAAGTAAAAGCTGCAACACCTCAACTTCACAACTGCAACCTTCGAAGGACATGCACATTCAAAGAGAGGTAAGTGTGTTAAAGAGATGTGTGTTAAAGAGATGAAGTGGAAAAGAATTTTTGACTTGAAAACTCCAAATTACCTTAGCTCTCTTCCAAAGATAAGTCATGAAGTTCGGCCACTCATTCTTCTCGTGAAGATTTTCCGGCTGAGGGTATAATTGATATCGAGGTAGAGTCGACTCTCTATACATAGAACTTGGTCTGAATTCACATATTGTCCAGCAGGTAGGGCTGTACAAAAATGATTGACATGAAAATAAAAATTATGACTAAATTCAGATGTTCATAAGAAAATTAGCCAGAATTTAAACCTCTGATGTTCATTTCATATATTCACTGCTTCTTCAGAGACAGAAAGAAAGAGAAAGAATCATGAAACCCCGGAATATGAGAATTACTCCAAAATTTCATTGTATTTAAAAGAAGCTTGAACTAAAACAAGAGAAGCATTTTAAATTGTAATAGAAACGTACACTTTAAACGGAAAATCAGAACAACTTGCACGGCAGATACTCTTCTTGTCCTTTTGAAGGGTAACATATTGACCTTGCCCTTAGAAATGAAGGATAAAAATAACATAAACTTAGCACATTGTAACTTTATATACATTAAACAGAGGAAAGATTCAATAAGAAAAAACCATAACTCGAAATATGATCAATTACCATCAAGCACCAGCGGTGACCCATTTAACTCAATCTTTTCACTCCCCATACTTCATCTGCAAAAAAACTACCCAAAAATCAAAGGAAATTGACCAAAAATCAACACAGAAAAACATGCCTTAAAAGTAAACAATAACATTTAACAATGTTTTAAATCATCACAGCCAGCAAGATTCTTCAAAAAACTATATCAGACAAAATGTAACCAAAAAGACTAGAAAACACAATTACTTCTTCCGAAAAAACCATAAGACCACTTCAAGAAATCCAATTCATGTGAATCTACAATAGATGATTCCAAAACTCTTTGAATCATCAGGAGCAGCAAATTATTCAAAAATAAAATAAAATAAAAGCTCGGAAACATAAGGCAAGCTTAAAAATAAAAAATGTACATATTTTTCCTACAGAAGCCCTAAAACCACTAAAGCATAAACAAGTATAACATCTAACAACACTTCTAAACATCAAAACCAGCAAAATTCTTCAAAAAAATAAGCTCCTCCCAAAGGTAGATACTTCATCTAAAAGAAAAGGGGAATTTATTAAAAAAGATCTTTTTGCTAAATAATTAGCAAAATTGATCATTTTGCTAATTATTTAACAAAATCGACCTATTTTTGGCCAACAGGTCAAAAAATTATCGATTTTAAAAAACGCCCTGCTCAGAACATACGGGACTACTAGTCCTGTATGTTTTGGGTGAACTAATTACCGATTAGTGCTCACAGAAAACATACGGGACTATTAGTCCCGTAAGTTTTGGGCTGAATATTTGCTCTGCCAAGCAAACCCACGAGACTATGTGTCCCGTGGGTTTGCTGGGCAAAACAAATTAGTCTCTGCTTAACGTACGAGACTAGTATGTTGGCCCTTTTGTTTTGATGATGATTTGTCAAACAATTTATACCTAATTTGTTTCTTAGTGGTTGTGGCTTGTTTCTTTTTACAGGATATCTATATATGATGAAAAGTCATTCATATCAAAGTTAAAGATTCAAGATCAAACTGTGTGCGCAACCTCTTAGGTATATTAGTAGTTTTGTAATGTATATTGTGTGAATATATTTCAAGCTCAATATATATATATACACACACAATTTTGATTTTTATTACAAACTGAGTTTATTTGAGAAGACAATACAATATTGGTTTATTAATCTTGTTTACATTACATTCACGTTTTATAACGTTTATAAAAACATTTCATAAAGTTTCCACATTTTCTTACATGTCAAACTTCATTTTCAAGATTCATGAAAAACATGTATTATGTACATTTTTGCTAAACGTTGAGTTTTTACAAATACGATGTCCTTTTTGCAAAATTCCTTTTCAAACAAGTTTGTTATTATGTTTGTAAACTTTTCCCAAAATTTCATATTTTTTGGAATTTATTTACTATTTTTTAAAGGCCTTTGAAATTCATTTTTAAAATTTAAAATAGGCTGAAAAACTGTTATCAGTCGACTGATACATATTATCAGTCGACTGATGAAACTAGCCAGAATCATCAAAAAATTTTGTTTTTTGGTCAGTCGACTAACGAGTTCATCAGTCGACTGATGAAGTGTTTGCTGACTCTAATGATTAGCTCATCAGTCGACTGATGAACAATATCAATCGACTGACGGTTCCAACGGCTAGTTTTTCCAGCCGTTTCAGTTGACTGATGAACAATATCAATCGACTGACGGTTCCAACGGCTAGTTTTTCCAGCCGTTTCAGTTTTGGAATTTTTTGGTCTTTTTGCCTTGTTTCTCTTGGTTTGGGGGCTTGTTCTATGATCCTATATATATCACATACCCTCTAACTTCTGTGGGTATCAAGAAAATTGTTTAATCAAGTTTTGGAAGAGTTTTGTTTGTGTTTAAGCATTGTTTTAAGTTTCGTTTCAAAACAGGAGTTTTTCACAAGGAGGAAGCTTTTGATTTCAACTGAGGAATTCATCCTCATCATCATATCTACAGCTCCTTGTGTTTATAGAGAAGATTTCTAACTCTTTTATCTAGCTTATTTATTATTTTGATTTTCATATTCATATCTTAGCTAGTTTTATTTGAGTTAGAATTTTATTATTCTCATTTATCACACACTTTTATTGAGCTTATAATATTTCATACAATATATTGTTGGGTAGTAATGTGTGATTTAGTGAAAGTGAGACTTATTGTGTTCTCATTCATATTAGAGAACAATTTATTATATTTGAGCTTCATTTGTGAGTATCACTTTGTAATACACAAGTACACCAAGAGGAGTGTGTGGTGAGGACGTAGTCGATATCAAAAGGAGTGACATCGGTAGTAAAGCCTAGGGAGAGGTAGTAAAACCGAGCACTTAAGGGAGGCGATACGTAAGGACCAACACTTGAGATTGTAGTTTGTGTATGTACATTGTGAGTGACTTGTAAAGTTTTCGGTGAACTAGAAAACCGAGTGTGTAGAAAAGTTCCGATTTTCAAACCGGGTGTGTCGATATGGTGGAGATCTCGAGGTGAGGAGCGGAGACGTAGGTCAAGGGTTGATCGAACTCCGTGATCATATCTTGTGTTTGAGTTTGCTTTGTGTTTATTTATTTTATGCTTGTATTTTACATTCTTGCTCATAACTCATTCATATATCTTTTGCAAGAATCAATTAATCAAGAAAGTTTTTTTTAATTGGCATAAAATCGAAATTAGATTAGTATTGACCATATTCACCCTCCCCTCTAGGATGCTAACATAGTAGTCCCGTACGTTAAACAGACTCATTTGCTATGCAAGCAAGATCACGGGACTATTAGTCCTGTGGGTTTGCTGGGCAGAACAAATGAATCCCTGACAATTCTACTGGACTAGTAGTCCCGTAGAACTGTCGGGCTATATAAAGCTCAGATGTTCCCCAAACTAGGGCACAATCGTCCTCATTCTCTCCCACTCCCTTTCTCTACCGATCTCTCTCCCGATCTCCATCTCTCCCAAACCTGATCTCCCTCTCTCCCAAACCGATCTCCCTCCCAAACCCGATCTCCATCTCTCCCAAACCTAACCCAACAATCCCGATCTCCCTCTCTCCCAAACCCGATCTCTCTCTCCCAAACCCAACTTACATCTTCCTCCCTCAAATTTGACGCCGACGCCGTCTATTCTCTCTGACGCCGACGCCGTCTATTCTCTCCGACGCCGATGCCGTCTATTCTCTCCGACGGCCGACGAGATCCGAAAGTTCATCAATGTATAAATTTCTTATTTTTTCATAAATTTCTCTATATTGTTTAGTTAATATTGTATATCTAGAGGAAATATTTTAATTATGATTATCAATATGAAAAAAATCTAATTTGTATATGATGGATTTTAATTCTTCAGTTAAAATGGCGAATGGAATACCAATTATTTGCTTATTTAATAGAAAACTGAGTGTTAAAATAAATAATATACCTATATACGATGGAGGCTCTAGAAAAATGTTCATGTTATCTAGAAATTACAATTTTGATAGAATGATGGAACAAATATACAATTACTGGAATTAATCATGCCGAAAATGTCATTAAGGTCTTCTGTAATTGTCCAATAAACGAAAAGAGAACAATTGCTATAGAGATCACCAATGATGAAGAATTAAATGACATGATATAACTTGCGGAAAAACAAATCTCAATCGAGCTGTTCATTGAAAATATTCCAATGTCTGGGGTTGTCGAAGTTTCATCTGCTCACGAAGAGTTCTCCCGCATGCTTAAAAATCAAATCTCGTTATCTCAAAGTGCCTTGCACTTAAAAAATGACTCAGGTGTAATGTCAAGTGACATGCTCCACAACTCGCCGGGTCATGTTTCAGTTAATTTACCGGTTGGTTTTATAATAGAAGAGGATGAGGATGTAAATATCGATGATGATAACAAAGTCGTTAAAGAGGAGGAACATCTTGATAGTATGCAGTGTGCAATTGGAGAGACCAATGATGACGTAAGTTTGATGGATGAATATTGCGTAAACAACGATTATGTAGAGTCTGAAGAACCGTTGCTAGAAGAGTTTGAAAATGACGAGTGGATAAATATCTCACAAGCTGGGTTCGTTAAGCATGGTCCTAATTTCGATCAACCCGAGGACTTCACTTTCAAAAAAGAAGATCTTTTGAGAATAAGAAAAGCTTAGTTTTCGTTATACGTGAATGGGCAATCAGGAATCGGGTCAAATTCAAGCCGGTTTAAACCAATACAACTAGTTATCATATAAAGTGCTACTTTAATGAGAAAGGTCAAGGAGAGAATACAAGTGCTGCAGACGATAGAAATCCAAAGTGTCCATGGAAGCTTAATGCAGCTGTTAGGAAAAAAATCTAATGGGCAATTTATGATCTCAAGTTATTACGGACTTCATACATGATACAATCCGACTGTCAATAATTATCATAAGACAGCAACTTTCGCTTATATCATGAAGCTAATTATGTCCGAAGTTAGGCGGGAACTTGATCTTACTCCAGGACAGATAATTACAAAGGTATATGATATGAAAAAATAACTATATCCAAGTATAAAGCATATGATGCACGGAGGAAGGCGTTGACTAAAATATTTGGAGATTGGGAGGAATCTTACCAACTACTTCCGCATTATCTTGCAGCAATTAAGAGGAAAAATCCGGGTACCGAATATGAGATAGTGTCTAAGGAGATCGCACCGAAAATGGAGAGGTTCATCCGGGTATTTTGGGCATTTGGGCCTGCTATCAAAAGGTTCTCTTTTTGTCGTCCGCTCTTAAGCATCGATGGAACACATTTATATGGTAAGTACAAAGGAGTGCTCTTGGTTGCGACCGGTGTAGATGCAAACGGTGGGCTATTTCCAATAGCTTTCGCGGTTGTGAAGATGGATGATACATCGAGTTGAAAGTGGTTTTTCTAATGTAATTACATATACATTCTGACTGTTCAAAGTCCAAGAGTTATTACTTTTATTTTTGATCAGATGAAAAGAATTCCACGAGCCTTACACGAGAGGTGGAGTGCACCACATCATCACCGCTATTGCTTACGGTATATAAGAGCTAATTTTAAGAAAAAAACATGGAGAGGCCAATTTACAAAATTTATTGTGGTAAGTCGGGTGTGCCACTGTACCACTAGTATATGAGGGAGAAAATTAAATCCCTATCAGTTGAAACACACAATTGAATTGAACAAAACTTGAAGCCGCAATACGAAGATCGATGGGCATTATGTAAAGATGGTGGAGTGCGCTATCGTATGATGACAACTAATTGCTCTGAAAGTTTCAATGACGTACTTAAGGGTGCCCGTGCTATGCCAATTCAAGCCTTAGTTGCAAGGACGTTTTATAGATTGAACGCATACTTTAATAAGAGACGTAGTGATGGTGCAAATTGGACGAGTAAGTACACTCCAATAAGATAAATTTGTAGAAAAGGATTGTGACTATAAGAACATATAGAATTGAACCATTCAACGACAATGAATGGGAGGTTAAAGATTATGATGGTACTTACACCGTTCATCTCTATGACCAGGAGTGTAGTAGTACTTATAGTATACGACAATTACAAAAATTATCATGTGAACATGTTTTAACAGCTAGTTCCAGTCAAGATGGTGGTGCTAGATAGCAATTAATTGATAAAATATTTTCTATTTCTCTCTATTTTTTATTATTATAGTCTTATTGCTTTGGCAGAAACTAATAAGTTAACAATTATATGTGCAGGTACATACACGATGCTTCCCGGGTAGGTTACTGATGAAGTCCTCTATGATCAGTCATGCCACCGTTCAGAGAGCATATCGTTTACATCGGTAATGATTCTCTATTTTTTAGTCATAAGTTTACAGACACATTAATTATTGAATTTGATATGGAGAGATTTTTGCTCACTATTTTTATAAAATATGACTAACGCATTTGAATATGTGATAGGTGGTTACCACTTCTCGATGACTTTGACATGTGCGGCACATTATCATGGGGTAGTGCTGTTTTAGCATACCTATATCAAGAAATGTCAAAGGTTGCTTTAATGCAAAATAAAGAGCTCAAAAGATGTTTAACATTGTTACAAGTTTGGGCATATGAGAGATTGGTTTTGAGACCACGATTATGCGAGATCTGAGAGTTAGATGAACACATTCCACTAGGTTGTAGGTAAAAATCATTGAATTTAATTTTAAATTTAAAATTTTGAACGAAAACCTACCTTATATCATACTTGCAGATGGAATGTCACTAAAGCCTACGATGAGACCCCAACAAGACAGTTAGATTTTTACAGAGGGGAGCTCGATCGGGTGAAAAATTTTTAGGTATTGAACTTGAATTGAAGTCGTTTAAAGCTACCGATATATTTCAAAGAGTTATTAATATATGGATTATTTTGTAGTTTGAGTGGCAGCCATACACACCTTACTTACCTCGTCTACCGTTAATTTTTATGGAGGGACACGACATATGAAGGGCCAAAGTTCCTTTCGTTTGTTTCGAAATTGTGGAGATGCACGTGCCAGATCGCGTGTTTAGACAATTTGGATTCGCGCAGCACACTCCAGAATATGTCGAACAACTAGAGAGAAAGGCTTTTAAAGGTGGCCATCAGATTGACTGGCGGAATACGCATCATTCATACATTGCTAGATGGAATAACCGGCATCAACTTATTGTTGATCAGCTTTATCCTCCGATGGAAGAAGTCGATTACATTAGATGGTATTGGGGTTTTACCAGACGTTGGATAATCACTCAAACCACGCTTCTGGTCGACAAAATCGAGATTCGCTCCCAACAATCCCGATACGTACCAAGAGGGGTAGATGAGAGACAATGAGTAAGTAATTGCGAAAATTATAATAGAGTTTTCAATCTCTTGTATGCTTTTGGTTTCGTATATGTATCGATATTTTTATGTAATTGTAGATCGACGCTATGGACGAGATAGAGGGGATTGCAAATGAGGGCATTGTTACCGCCACAGAAGATTCAGTACACATCATTCTTGCATCGGATAGTGGCGAGGGTTCGTAGAACCTTTCGACAAACTCATGAGGATCGGCATGAAGGTCGCGAGCAGGTGACGCACGAAGATACTTTATATGCACACCGACGAAGACGTGGTAGATCTTGCTTGCACGACGATGAAACCGGTCCGTCGCAGCAAGTGGACCGTTACATCCCCACACACAACCAGAGAGCGAGCATATACAAGCTCAAGTCGAAAGAGGCCGTCGTCGATCTGAGCGGATGCGAAGAGGGAGACGACGGGGGAAGGGCGGACTTTTAGGTTGTTAGCTTTTCCAATAAGATTATATATTGTCATATGGAATTATTGATACATTTAAATTTGTTTAGCTTAGACTACATATTATCTTATGGGTAGACTTGATACATTTGGAATTGTTAGAATTTTGTCGTATTGGTATGCATATAACTTGCATATTGTGTTATGATGTTCTGAATTGATTAACCTTGTTATTATCTGGTGTTTATTTCATAAAATTTGGATTTATTTAGAGTATTTTGTGATGTTGTGTATTTTGCCGGATTTGTGTTGTGATGTTGTGTATTTCGTCAGATTTGTGTTGTGATGTTGTGTATTTTTTAGATTTGTGCAGTGATGTTCTAAAGTTATAACTTTAATCAATGTATACAATGCGGATAACATTTTTTTTGTAAAAGTTTTGGTCAAATAATACTGTATACGAAGCTAGAGGCATGGCCTCTGCCCAGCAAAAAGCCTCTGCCTAACGTACGGGACTACTAGTCCCGTACGTTTTGGTAAGTTCACAGAAAACATACGGGACTAGTAGTCCTGTATACTAGTCATGTATGTTTTCTATGAACACTAATCGCTGATTAATTCACCCAAAACATACGGGACTAGTAGTCCTATATGTTCTGAGCTGGACGTTTTTTAAAATCAACCTTTTTTTGACCAATTGGCTAAAAAAAGGTCGATTTTGCTAAATAATTAGCAAAATGATCGATTTTGCTAATTATTTAGCAAAACGGTCTTTTTTAAAAAAAATCCCAAAAGAAAACCTAGAATCGCCAAACTAACCGAATCACGCCAAATTTATGATAGAACGATTCCATAAAAACGCTTGCATACGGAAGCATGAATTTAACTAAACATACTCAATTTTTAAAAAAGGAACAAAAAATTAGAATGAAATATAAATCAAAGAAAAATAATCCCCAAAAAATTAAACCGTCAAACGTTATGCAACCGAAAAACTCAAAATGAAAATGATTCGTCCAAAGAAACCCTAGAATCGCTAAACTAATCGAATCACGCAAAATATAATTCGAATTTTCATATAGAAACATCAGTTTAATAAATAAACCTTAAATAATGGCGAAAAGGAAAACGACTAAACGTCGAGTCGCCGAAACTAGCGACATTCTTTAGGAAAAATGAGCCCGGAAACAACATGCAACCTAGAAACTCGAAATCTGTTACAAAATGAAAGAAACCCTAGAATCCTATAGAGAAGCAGGAATTATAAAGAAACTAACCTAAAGAATCACGAAAGGAAACAAGTAAAACTTACCAATCGCTGAAGTTAACGAGAATTTTAGAGAACTTTAGACGGGTGAGAGCAAGAGAGAGAGAGAGAGAGTGAAGCGTCACCGGAACGCTCTCTTCCTGTATAAAGGCGGTGGATAAATTTTAAAAACCGTGTTATTTAAAAAAGAACAATTTTTCAAAACCGACTGAAATTTTTTTTTTTTTTTCAAAACCGACTGTTTTTTTTTTTATTTATCAAAATCGACCCGGTTTTGTGATTAGCAGGCTAATCACTATCCTAAATAGTCGGGGTTGGCAACCCCGACTATTTAGGATAGTGATTAACCTGCTTTAAAGGGTGATTAGCAGGTTAATCACTATCCTAAATAGTCGGGGTTGCCAACCCCGACTATTTAGGAGGGTGTTAAACCCTAATTAAAGGCTTTAAACCCTAAAAATTAATGTCCTAATTAGTCGGGGTTGGCAACCCCGACTATTTAGGATAGTGATTGTCGGGGTTGGCAACCCCGACTGTTTAGGAGGGTGATTAGGCTGCTAATCAAAAAACGGGTCGGTTTTGGTAAATAAAAAAAAGGGTCGATTTTAAAAATAAAAAAATTAAATGAGGCTGTTTTGAAAAATTGTTCTTGTCAAAACCGGCCTATTCTAAAAAATATTTTCAAAACTAGTTTCAGCAGTCTGGTTAAAACTGGGTCAATTTTGACAAATAAAATTCTAAAACTTCACGGGGGCTTGAAGTCCCGTAAAGATTATTTTAGTTCATAAGACTTCAGGGGACATGCTCATTTTCAAAACAGTGCAATCTTCTCCCACTCTTACACGCCCCTAAACTCCTAAAGATTAAAAAAATAGCAACATTACTCTCCCACTCCCACCTCACCACCTCCCAACACCACCCTCCCAAACCTAACGCCTTCCCCACACCCCCACCGTCACCCTCACCTCCCCTTTAGGAGACTCTCCCGCCCCTCTTTGTCGCCTCCGCCTACAGGGTCACCATCGAGCACGGAGGCAAGGCCCGCGACTGCAGGCTGGGCGTGTGCATGATGTGACCGGCACGGTTTCTCAGCGGGGAGGTCGACCAGAGCGAAGGGATGCTCAGCGAGGACGTGGTCGATACGGGGTATGCGCTGCTCTGTGTGGCGCATCTGAGGTCAGATTGTACGATGAGGACTGTTCCCGAGAAGGAGCTGTTGTCTCTTCAGTTGGCAACCGTCAATGGTTTTAGTTGTCGAGGGAGGTTGCTGGTGTTGGAGTTTGGTTAGGTCAGTGTGGAAAGCGAGTAAATTAAGAGTTTTTCTTCACGGGACTTAGACTTCACGGCACTTCAAGTCCCGTGAAATCTCACGAACTAAAATAACTTCACCGGACTTGAAGTCCCGTGAAGTTACGCAGATTAATTAAATGGCTGCTAAACTTCACGGGACTTCAAGTCCCGTGAAGTTTCAGAGTTTTTTTCATCAAAACCAACCCAGTTTTAACCCGACGGCTAAAACTAAGTCGGTTTTGGCGAATATTTTTAGAATAGGCCGTTTTTTGCGTATATTTTTGTAAATGGGTAGGTTTTCAAAATTTATCCTAAAGGCGGTAGTGCTTGATTCGCGCCATAAGTGAAGCTGTTGCCCTTTGTTTGGGGCCTAAATTACAAATTATGTCATTGAGGAACAACGGCCTAAGCCGTTGCCCGATGCTCCCAGCTAGGCTGCTAAACTACCTCCCTATCCTATCCGAGGAAATATCTAATAATCATATCCATTAGGATACGAATATAGTTATTCAAATCTATAACTGATAGGATATAGTTACGAATATAGTTTTGTAGTGAAATAACCGGATTCATATCCGAAATATCTGAATACATATTAGTCATACTATTACGATAGTTTTAATTATTAGATTATAGATTTGTGGTTAATTTTGATGGTCAAAATATCTAATTTTAGCTTTTCAGTTATAATGAACATATTAACGACCTCTTTTGTATCACATGAACCATGTTTTTCTCAATACTAGTTAGTTTTCTCATATCCGTTTTGTATCCGCATGCGTATCTGCTTGTATATCTGTATGTATATCTGTAATCGTATCCGATTTTAGTGGATATGAATATGAATTTTCTTTTACCGAGGTATACCCGTCTCCGTATCCAAGATGGGTAAGTGTATATGGATATGCTAATTATCATATCCGAGCCGTATTCGGATCGAATGCACCCCTACTCCCCGTTGTCAAACAAAAGAGAGATGGTATTTGTTTTATAAATGAACTGAAAATTAAAAGAGACTGAAAAGTAGCACCAAGTGCAATTTTATGATATGTTGATGAGTAATTTTTTTTCTTTTTTTCCTTTCTTTTTTTTCTTCTTTTTTCCCCTTGACAAGTGAATCTTTTAGAAGGGGGAGCTACAGTCAGAGTGACAATTCAAGTTCATATGCTAGAGCACTCCCTCTCAAACAATGCGTTCCTCTTGAAACTCCCGCTCCGGCTTTGAGGCCCACTTCTAATACCCCATAACACCAAGTAAACGAGAGTCCACGGATCACCTAGCAGTTGCCACCCGTTGGTGATATGCTGATGTGAAGTAAACCATCTCTTGTGATTAAAAAGAATTTAAGCGTGCTATAAAAATTACATTGCTCTTGTGCTGCTACACATAAATAAATAGTGCTTATAGAAGCTCTCAATTTCTCTTTGCAATTTATAAGAAAAAAATCTCACTGTTTTTTGTGATAATATAACAATGGAAGTACTACGAGAATAACGTAACTATTACGTACAGTCATCATCGTAATTTAGTAGCAAATTTAGTCTTTTTTAGTTGAAGTCTTTTCTTAATAAGTTTTATCCAATTAAGGAGGAAACCCACAAACTTGTCCCTTCCCAAATGGGCGAGTCTTCTTTTGGATATAGCGCTCATGAGCAGAGAAACCATGTGCGGAGTCCACCTCGTAGAGGATCTCCATTTTGTTTTCTAGCAGATTTCAGCACATCAAAGTCTCATCAACCTCACCACAATTATTGTACCGTAAGAGCACAATATCGAAACTAGCTCACTAGCTTTGAAAATTTTGTGAACAACTGGATATAAACATCACATTTTCTGAAACAACATCAAATTGATTAGCTACTTATACATACATCCATCTTTCACGTAGCACCACTAGTTTTGTTCTTATCCTTCTCAACAACGGTTGACTGTGTTAGTCGAGCTTTGTGCTGTAAAAGAGCCAATCGATCGGCGAAGAACAAATCCTTCATATGCCGAAGCTGCAGCCACTCTTTCTCCACCTGCAGCTCCACGTCCTCAAAATGTTCGATCTTTTCTTTAATTGTTTTCATCTGGCAATGAGTCGTTCACTCTGCTGAGTACTACCCGAAAAAAGAACAAGCAGAAAAGAGCCTAGCCTTTCAATAAGAGGGAGAACATAGAATTACCTGTGCTTCAACTATATCAGTAATGGATTGCTCGACGTACTGCTGTTCCTTCTCCAATTGAGTTTCTGCTTCAAACGCTGCCTCGCTGAGGACTTTGTCAAAAGACTGTCCTTTCAAAGTAGAATCATCTGGGCAAGATGTAATCGTTATGGCTCAAGTAAACACGTAAAATGGAGCAACAAGAACCCTAGATGTACTTTTTTTTTGCCACCATAACTATCTGATAGAACGCCACGATGAAGACTGCTATAGAATAATGATGATTTTCTTATGTTTACAAACCGTTTTAAATGCCAGTCCACATGCTTGTTGGAGGATATAAATAAAGAGAAAAGAAAAGCTGAATCAAGAAATTATGCATATACAAAATCTCAATTCTTTGGTGTCCTGTAAGTTTTTGTGGGTATAATCCATACCTCTTTCCTGTCTTTCATCATCAGAAGATCCGAACTCCATGCCACCTGGACTACCAATGTTAGCCTGGTTGACATCATCTAAAGCAGCAATGGCAGATTGTGCTGCAGCTCCAGCAACTTCTGAACCCACCACAGCAGATAAGAAAGCTACCTGAGAGGGATAACAACTTAGCCATCTTCAGAATGCATGCATGCACGTGTTATCTAGCACTGGAAAATTAACAAAATCATAGTTTGGGTTGAAAGTACAAATTCACATTTAACAGAATGAACAGTAATTCAGTAACCCCAAATACGTCCCATGGTCACTACAATCTGTTACAGACAATCAAACGATAAAATAAAATTTTTGAAGGATAACAAAAACAGTCCTGTGATACCAACGAGAGAAGAGCTTATGTGGCAGCAACAACAATAATGGTAAACTATGGACCATAACATTTGCCTGCACCTTAGCAGGAATTGATTATTTTAACAATAAAGCACAATCTCTTATCTTAGCTGCTTGAGAAGCAGATTCTAAAAGAACAGACAAATAAAATAGTTTTTGTAAAGACAAAGGAAAACGTAATTTCATACACTTTCCTATGAGCTGAAGAAGCTTAAATACAAGTTTCTAAGCAAAGCCAAGAATGCCAAGTTAACTAGTAAACAATTTACTTCAACGTTCTTAGGAGCTAATAGTTTTAACAGTATGAAAGGAATTTTACATCATTGCTACTTAAAATTTGAGTGCACACCTGCGCCATAATTGGGTTGCTGGCATCTGCTAGTGGTGTCAGACACCTTCGTTTCGAAAGAGAGGGCTCCACAATACTCTTTTGTCCATTTCCATTGTCAATTGTATCGTCCTTCTGGTACTGCATATATTCTTCGCTCTCTAGAGGGCCCATAAACTGCTCTCCAAAAGGTAGCCTGATGAACCTGGCAACACAGTCTTTTTCATTTCGACTACCAACATGTTCTGCCACCTTCTTCCAGTCTTCGCCATAATGCAAGACGGCCTCAAGGAGGTGAAGGGTTTCCTTGTCGGTCCAATCCGCCTTTGTGTCTTCACTGATATCAACCCGTTTGAAATCTGTTGAACTGAGACCAGGCCGATAGTTTTCACGCACAAAGCACCTCGTACATAGAATAATATTGGCCTGCCCAATAACACAAGATAAAAAAAGTAATAAACTAAAAAAAACCAGAAGCCATGCTAGATGGATAACAGCCTTTTCTAGCTTCCATAAAACTACAGAAACATGCAGAGACAGAATGCGTCACGGTTTTTTGTAACCCGTCCACTGTTATGTAAAACTATAGTTTGACTTCCATCATTTCACATCATCTACCTGTTCTCAGCTCTGACAAACATCAGAAGGATGACCCTTTTCATGAACACAAATATTTGATGGAAGAGCATAACATAAACTAGTTGATGGAAAAGTAGCTGCAAGTTAACTGTTTTGAGAATACTAAACATGAAGCACGTCTGAGGAAAGAATGAATGCCAACTAATAGTACTAAGAAATATAAATAAGCTATTATACATGCTCTTTGATAATAAATAAACTGCTGCGGAATCAAAAAATATGAACCTTATCAAATGAGTTAGGAGTTCATTACAGACCTTATCAGTGGCAAAGCAAACCATTTTACATGCTGTCTTGCAATCGCTGCATAGCTTTTTAGGGCTCTTTTTTTTCTCTATATTCTCTATAACATCTCTCTTCTCCTTTGAGAAGGGCTTAGCTGATGGCACATAATTGACCAAACCCCAAGCCTCAAGAAAATCAAATACCCTTCTGATAGACCCAACATCACTAGCTATAGCTCGTCGGGCCTCAGTGAATGTGATCTTTCTTGAAGGATTTGCTCTGAACCTTTTGATAACTGCGTCCCTAATGTACTTGTAAATTCTAGGATTCCTGGGGGAAAAAAGACAATTTAGGATACAATCTAGTAAGGAAAATTTCCATCCTCGACAACAAATGGATGCATTAATTGATCCCAACAACTAATGCATGCATAAATATTTACTGTGAGTAGAAGAAACTACCTCCAACATATTCAATATAACCATTGAATACAATTTTATACAAGGTTTAACTGTATTTGATGGCTCCAACCTTAAGATACTTTTTAAATTCAGACATTTTCATAGTTAAAACTCGCTATTGCTAAAGAAAGGCAGCATAAGGACACGTAGAATGTAGCAAGATGAAAGATTTTTGTGCAATATAAGGTTGCTAAGTGATAGTTTTCAACTCCTCTTTAAAGGTAGTGATAGAATGGAGAAAAATCTGGACCAATATCTTTAAGATAAATTTTGTTCGAAGCTGGAGGTACTTTTCTGTCATTAAACTGAAATTCTAAAGTACCTTGCAAATTAAAGATAATTTATATAGCATATAGTTATACTTATTACCAAAGACCGAGAACTTTCATTGTCATTTTAAGTATCCCCTTAAACTTCCCAACATCAAGGAAGAGAAATATTTTTTTTCCATGCTCTACCAAGACCCTAATTCTTTTTATATTTCAGGGGGTGTTTCTTTCTATACATTTGGTATGTTTTGCATTGGAAAATGGGACCCACATGTTTAAAATCCTAGATTTTCATCAAATGTGTTGTTCGTTTGGTATTTTTCATGCCATGGACTTGGGGTTGCCACGTAGGATAGAGCATCAAATGTTATCCCCTAAAATTATGTTGACCTATTTGTTAAACAAAATTTGGTTGCATTTTATAACCCATGCATATCATCTTTAATATCCATAACAAACAAACAAGACTTTGGATATGAGTTTATCAAAATCCATTACATGCATCAAGATGCAACTCGCGAACCAAACAGCCCTTAGTTTCTCAATTCTTTTCTCCATTAAGAATTTTAAAATCCTAATTTTTCATAGCTCTTTTATACCTAAAATATCCAAAACTTAATAAAGAAAAGGAAGAAGGTCCCCTAAAATTTTCCACTACACCTTAATTTCCATAATCCCAATCTTCTAAATTTTCCATTTAAAGCAATAATTAAGGTCAATATGGACAAATTAAATAAATTAAATGGTTTTGACTGCAAACATTACTAAATATCCTCCAATTACTCAGCTAAAAAATAGAGTTACCTAGAAGGAGATTTCCCATCGAAGAACTCCGGTAGAATCTTCCTCTCCGTCTCATGTATCTCATCGGAAGAAAACCATCCTACAAAACAAATTGTTTCCCCCAAAATTCTTCCAAAATAAAAAATTAGGGTTTCTGAAACGGGAAAAGAAGTTTACCTGAATAGCTAGGGATGGTAATGGTATAGGAAACCGAAGGAGCGGGCGTCTCCGGCGACCGAGCAGCGGTGAAGTTAGGCGCGGTTACCTCATTTGCATCGTACGCCGGAATCTCAGATTTAACGGCGGGAGTTGGCGGAGCTTCTGACTTAACGGCGGGGATGGAAGGGGGTGGAGTTGGCTGTGACGTTGGAGGCGGGTGATTTAACGGCGTAGTCTGCGGAGTTAACG